GGGAAAAACGCAGACCTATTTTGGCTTGGTCCTGTTGCCATGGTGACTCGTAATGTCTTCACTCCATTGTTCAGGGCTTTTTATAGTCGCGTGGCACGCGCCTAACTCTGAGTCAAACAACTCAGAGTTGATTAAACCAACTCTTTTCAGCTGTTCTGAAACCGAGTTCAGGTTTGAACTCTGAGTTTGTTAAACCGCCTTCTTGAAATAGGCCCCTTGTCTGTTATTGGGTCTGATTTAAAAATGCCACAACATTCTGGTTATTACTTGAACTATTCCAGATAGTTCAGTGAACTTGCTTCTTAGATCAGGTCATGCAATTTGCAAGATTTCCTCCTGAATGACTGTGTAAAAGCTGTATTTGTACATCATGTTAGTATTTGTTATTGTGCACCTTCATAAACAGTCTGAAGTGATCAAAGGTGTATATGCATTTTGGGGTTAATAGAAATATCCTTTACCTCTTGTTTTATTATTGAAATCAAGGCCATGCTAGCACCATACCTGCTGCGCCAAAACAGAGTAATGCCAGAAAGTAGACTGACTACATTTTTAGCAGACTGTTGCACATCAGTAATGGAAAAATGTGTCCAATTTTAGATGGATGTTGATACTCCTGACTTTGGAGTTGTCTGGAAAGGAATGGAAGTGAAACACTTTGATAAAAAATGGGCAGTTTATTCCAAACAGGTGTGCTCTAAATCTGGCAGTAGTGAAGGCAGATGAGGCCATTAATCCTTCTTTTACAACAACATAAAAACAAGCAAACAAAAAAAACTGGCAGCAAACATGTACCGCACCATACTGCCCCCTGATTAAGACGTATAAAAACAGGTATGGCTGTGGAGCTGTAATCATGTAATGCCCCTCATATTTCAGGGGTTTAGTTAAACCTCACACATCAAACAACTGAAAACCAAAGGCTGAAAAGATGACAAGTTGACATAAAAAAAAAAAACACACAAGTCTAATAATAATTAGGAAACTCATAAATTCAATACAAACACTGAAGGTTTAATATTGTAAATCCCAAATTGTGTTTTTTGACATTTTATAAAAATGGGGAAGTGACAGTTGTATTATATAATGACAACCCATTTTTCTGGGAACATGATTTTTTTCAGGAGATATTTATGACTTGATTCTAAAACGTCCAATACATCACTGTCATAAGTGTTAATCACAAAGACTCAGAGTGGCCTCTAGTGGAAACACTAACATCAGGAACAGACGGCTTTTTACCCTGAAGTGTATGTTGCGTGGCGCTCTTTGTATAAAGTGTTTTGAGAAATTCTCCTACTCTTTTGCAAATATCAAGGATGATTTGAGAAATGTACCAAAGCGACAGAGAAAAGCTGTGAGCAAAACGCCAACATTGACTGCAGATTAGGTAGCTGATTAATTTATACATTTACTATTTTATACAATAAAAAATAACAACGGTATTTTCATCACAAAAGGTACAGTAATTAAGGTACAGTATAGTAATTGTGTGCATTTCAGGAGAGGTCGAGTGGAAACAAGTTAAGGTAAAAAAGTGTCTTGTTCTTTATAAATTCAGGTCGTTTTTTTTTTTTCATCTCAAGGAATTAGTTATTTTGTGTGCAAACATAGTACTAATACAACAAGTATTAATTTATCAAGAAAATGAAAGCAACCATGTACCTACTATATCAGATGACGGCCAGACAATGTACAGTAGGAGTAGAAGGCTAATGCAGTTGTACCACATGCCATAAAATTAAGATAACATGCAAAACAAGCCAGGCCTTTTTTTGAATGTTGGTGTCATGACAGCAACTCTAGTTATGCAGGCAAGCAGGTTGGTAAACTGGTTGTATAATGGGACTTGATGGTGAATGTTTCAGTCGTTCTGAATGCAGAGTTCTTGCTCATCTCAGAGCACTGTCCATAGGCAGGAGGTTTATTCTCAAGGACACAGGATTTTAAATAACAAAGTACTTGTGCTTAATGTGTTAATTCAGTTGTATTGGGAGGACTGCCCAAAACTCCAAAGGTAAGTGTTTGACTTCTTTATTGTTACTGTGGAGATCATGCGTACCTGATACAATATCAGTATGTCACATTGACTTAGAAAAGTGCACAGTAAAAGCACCCAAAAGATGGGAAAAGAAAAGCACAATGATATGGGTTTTTAAGCAAAAAGGCAGCATCAGCAGCATTAATCACACGTATACTTCTGAATTATTCCTTGTCACTCTCTCTCGCTCACTTTACAAGTCAGAGATATTCCTTAATTCGTGTCTCAGCAGTGAACATGCAGCATTGTACGATACATTGTGCTAAAGAAACATTGCATTTAAAACACGTTTGTCTCCTTTGGTTTGAAATCAGACGCCCACGTTATCCAACTTCCAGCTCTCTCAGAATGATGAGAAAGCTGAAGTGCACCCCGTGGAGGGTCTTGTGTGTGCTGCTGGGTATTGTTTTCATCGGCTGTCTGAGTTGGCCATTTTTCATTCTGGTCTGTATCTTCATTCTTTCAACTAACATGGTCTCACTACCAACATAGAGTTTACTGAAGCACTTATCTGGTCCTGAGCTACTTATAAGTAAACACAGGAGTAACTGTATTTTCTTTAAACTTGTAATGTGTAGTCGCTGAAACTTGCTAATAGAATGAACTCATGATGAACTATGTCTCGTGAAACCTCAGCTAGTTTACTTCAGGTTACTACTTTGGTTTGCTTTGTGTTTGATGGCAGAAAGAATAAAAATGCTTTTTCTCTCAAGCTTTTTCATTATGTTATGCTGTGTCTTTTCTATCTTAAATTGTTTTAATGCGTTAAGCCGGAAGACGTAACTATGATCAGTCACAGAGAGAGGCAGCATGTCGCAATGTGGATAGAAACAAGCCCAAGGCAGCATGTCGCGATGCGGATAGGAACAAGGCCAAGGCAGAATGTCACGATGCGGATAGGAACAAGCCCAAGGCAGCATGTCGCGATGCGGACAAGGACAAGCCCAACTAGAGGTGAGAAACGAGCACAAAGATACTGAGAGGAGTCGGGATAAAAAAAGGGGTCAATCAGAAGGGTTCAGTAGAAATATAAGTGCTGTACTAAAACATTCTTTTCTCTTGATGTAAGAACCACACACTTTTCCTCCTCACATGCCATTAAACAGTGAGGGTAGATAGATGTGTTCTTCCTCCTGGGCAGTTCTAGTTCCTTTATTTGGACAAGTTATAGCTATTCACCAGTGGAGCTTATTTGAATAGATTTGCAAGTTCAAATGAGAGCTATTAGAAGAGATACGGGATCTAAAATGGAGAGTAATAGTGGGTAAAATGCTGTGAATGTATCTGAGTGATGTGGTTCTAGTTCTTCAGAATTCTGCTTAGGATTATTTTCCTGACCATGACAGAAAACATTCTTAAATAGATACCCTGTGACTAAACGTAAGACAAGAGTAGAAATGCTCTTATGCTTTGCAGAAGAAACTAAATCTTGCAAAGAATTTCAAACTCGTTTTGAAATCTTTGTCACTCGACTACTGAGGCAAAGCTACTGAGAAATTCTGTAATAATAATGGTAACAGGGCAAAGAGTTATACATTACAGTGACACCAGTATGCAAATGTTCTTGTGCTTAAATATTCACCCATTCTCAGGTTGTCCTTGTACTTGTGCTCACTCTGAATATAATGCAGAGATTATGCTAACTGTTGTCATATCAAAGCAGTGAACTGCAGTCGTTGTGACATTAAAGATTAAAATTGGATATTTAGTTTTACTTATACTTTGTCAGCCATGTTTTGCCATCCATTTCTCTGCATTTTTGTGGCTTCTACAATTACCTTGTGTACAAATGAAATCTTTAAACTCCTCCAGCAGAAGCCCTCGCTCTGCTGGGGTGACAGACTGCACTCTATCTTTGTGCATGTAGCCAACCAGAAACCAGCTGATCATGGTTTTGATTGTCCATACACGTTATGTAGTCTAGCCACTGACCACAAGAGCACACACTTATATCTCAGTTGGCGGTGATCACCCCAGGGTTCATTTCTCTTCAGTACAGTGCTCATCATCTTTGAATCAACAAAAGTGCTATTGCTTGTGTGTTTCTTAGATGATCAAACCAAAGAACATATTAATTGCACACTTCCACCGATGGATGGATACCCAGAATGTGAAGGGAAATTGAAGGTAATATATTTCTTTATTATTAAAATCTTATTGGTAAACATTCCTAAGAATAACTATATCAATTAGTGGTAATATAAGTATTCAAATATATTGTCAGAATAGTCAAGTCCTCAACTTGGTTTGAATGTGATATAATAGAAAGTGATTAAAATGGATGGTGGCCTATAGCAGCAATGTCAGTGGTGGTTTTTAGATCCTCATGCTCTCCACTATCTTAAAGTAAGTTTTGCGTTTCATTTTGACCAAATACTGTGTTGATCCTGATTATGCACTTTTTTGTGGCCCTTTGTTGTTTGCTGTTTTCCCAGTGGATGAAGGAGATGTGGGAAACAGATCCTTGCTACAAGAGTTTTGGGGTGGATGGGTCTCTATGCTCCTTCCTCATCTACCTCAGCGAGGTACCCACGTAGTTTCACTTGCTGAGTAACCACCACAAACCTCAACACATACAGCAGTAATAACTTGATTCTAAACACAATAATGAAAATGTTTGTGATTTTGTGTTTGAGTTGTCCCTATTGCTTCTTGTATTTTGTAAAGATAGAACCCTGGTGTCCTGTTCTTCCAGGCAGAGTGGGTTCCTCAGAACTAGAAAAGAACTTGGAGGTAAAGGCAAAGGTCAAAGAAACAAGACTGTGTGTTATTTGTTTTTTTGTGCAGTGTTGGGGTGTGATGTTTGTTTCTAATAAGGCAAATCTGAATTGTTCTAGTTCTTACAATTTTGTCACTGTCATTTAAGCTGCTTTGCTACTTGCCAACATAAAAAGGCCCATCAATGTCAGTCTGTGGCCTTCACTATCAACTGTCATTTGTAAAATCCTCTTTAGAATTTTTAAACTGATAGCTTTTTTTAAAGTAAAAGAATTGTGAGTGGAAAGTACTGTAGCATCATTAACACAAATAGATTGCAGACAATGGCAATAAATTCCTGTTCTGTAAAAAATTTAATTAATAAATAAATAATACACTGTAAAAAATCATATTTTTAGAATTTTTGAAAACTGTTTTTTGGTCAGTAAATTTTTTTTCAGATGTTTAAATCATTAATAACTGATAAAATGACAGAAATAAAATCAGTAGATGCACAGATTGATCTGAGGATATTGGCCTTGAGTGGTGACCGGCGTATCCGATTCTGTGCCGGTCACATTTAGAGACACAGCAGCCAACATCGTACATGCAAGTGGCACAAGCCAAAAGCATAGCGTGTGCAGCATGTGTACCTCGAGCAAGGATCACGCTCGTGTTTGTACCATGCACATGTTCACTCGCGTACTGTAATATCTTGGTGCACAAAAAGGACACAGATAAACCTACAGAAACTCTGACTATGTGGGCTCAGTAGTAACTGACATTCTTATGTTTTTATCACCTGTTTGAAGAAGTATTAATATTACACTTCATTTTTAGTTGGAGGTTTGTTTAAGGGAAAGACAGAAAATGTAAAATGTAAATACAAAGTTTCATTTTTCATTACAATTTAATTTTTAATTTAAAAAGATACTGTCAGTTACAATTCTTAGGGACGGACAGATGTAGGCTACCTACAGATATACAGACATACAGATAGACGACCTGAAAACATAATGTCTCCAGATGTGGCTATGCCAGCACAGGGGCTTAATGACCAGTGAATTGTGAAGGGAATTAGAATTCCAAAACAAAGAAACAAAAATTAGTATAAAATAAGCTTGGTGTTTTCTTAATTTTTCAGATGGGGTCTGAACAAGCAGTTGTACGGGAAAGTCTAGAAGGCCTGTATTCATCTGTGGGAAACAGACCCCAATACAGCTGGATTCACCAAAGAATTCATAGTATGAAAGAGATTTGGGTGGAGGCTGGACGGTCTCTTTCAGCAAAATACAACCTCACACAGCGGAAAGCCAAACAGGTAACATGGGCCTAGTCATTGTTTTTACTGGAATAAAAGATTCTTTGACCCACTGTCCTTGCCAAACATTTTGCTCTTGCATGGCGATATTCTTCATCTGAAATTCAAAGTCATCTAAACACTTCAAATGCTTTTATTGCTTCTACTTCGTCTCCCGCTGCACTGATTTTGAATGTGTCATAATCCAAAGATTGGCAGGCCTGCTGTGCATAGTTATGATTGCTAAGCTATTATTATACAATCACTGTTCAGAGGCAGGCTTTAGCAAAAAGATTTGATTGTTAGTATCAAAAACTGGGTATTAGCAGTATGGTATGGTACAATACCTTACCTTAAGTGCTAATTTTCATCCATACGTCTCTACTATGTGCTGTATATAAATATAGTATTATATACTATACACAGAAGGAATGTTAACTAAATTAAATACCAGCAGCTATACAGTACAGTATATCATGCAAATATCCACAAAGATGCAGACTCTGTGATGAGAGGGTTGATGGAGCCAGATTTTGTAGGAGTAGTGCCAAAGCTCTCTTTCCCACTAAAAGGCCACTCTTATGGCCTCTGTACCTTACTATGGCATTTATGGACTTTAACAAGAAATAAAATATTAAGTGCATTGCAAATACTGCACTCTATCAGTCAGTTTTGATTTCTTTGTCCTTTTGTAAATAAAATTATTTTCCAGTAACACTGAAACCAGTAAAAATGCATAGTACAGAAAAATAATTGCTAAAATACTTCCTGGGTGAGTAGAACATTAGTTCCCAACTCTCTTCCATACTTCCATATAGAGTAGATCTAAAATAATTTTATAAATGGTAGACAAGCTTTGCATCACATTAAGGTACTTAATGTTGTCAAGGAAGAAATGAGTCATAAGATGAAGTCATTATCCTCTATCTAGCCTTTTAATTAGATACAATGGCTGTTTTATTATCATTGTTAGTATTAAAAATGAACAATGAGCATCTTCCCCACCATTCCACACCCCCCAGATCATAGTGCATCCTGGTGCAATAACATATGAATCGGGTGTAAAAATAGCAGAGTCTGCCTTCCATGGCGGCCCTCTTGGGGAACTAGTCCAATGGAGTGACCTCATCTCCACACTTCACATCCTGGGCCACCATCTTCACCTTTCTGGCTCCACGTTCGATCTCATGGAGTGAGTACATATGCATGCAAAAATAACCTTTTGTTGCAAACTACTTTCTATTGGAGTGACTGGTGTCACTGTTAGAAGAATGAAAGTGGAAACATTTTCAAACAGTTAAACAGCATCTTATACAGTAAATCATAGACTGACCTTGTTTGACAGATGGACAGATTTGAAGTTATAATCATGATAGTTGGTGTGCATACCTAAAGATGTACATCCACTCATTCCATAACTTTCATGTCTAAAAATATTTTGTGTCTATTTTTGCTTGCCTCTCTGTCTCTCTAGTTTTCTAGGGATTAAAAAAGGTGCCTGCCCTCGTTATTCAAGGGTGAATGTAGATCTGATCTATACAGACATTGTCGGCTTTAAACAAATTCAGAAATCAGCTCCAGTGATCTGGTCCCGATATAAGTGAGTATCACGATATGGTCCTGATATTACTTTAAAGTGTTTATGAGTTATATAAGAGTAAATGTGATATACTGTATGTGTCTGTCAACATTTGATGGTGAAGCCTCTGGTAAAACACAGAGCACCATTATCATCGAAAGTATAGAGTCAATGATATAATGCCATTCACTGATGTTTTGGCAATTTAACTAGATCCTATTTGATTAAGCTGAAAACATTGTGTGGTATCCTGTTTGTCTTAAGTCTGAAATATCAAGAGAGTGGCGAGATATGCAATTTTCCTAAATTCTGGCTAAATCCAATGTAATGTCATGTTGCAAAGGGCACATATACATGATGGGACAGATTGATGAGCTACTGTAGATAAGAAAAAAAAAATCAACAACGCACAAACAATATTGCCCCTTTGTGGTCATTTTGTATACTTTTGCAAGCAGTTCAATGCCAAGATAAAACTGATCAAGCCACAGAGGATGTGTTCAGGTGAGAAATACAAAGTTTAAAAGATATACAGTTCTGCAGAGTGCAATGAAGATCTGATTCAGTGAAGAAAAGGTCAAGATAGCAGGCCAGCAGAGAAAGAGTGAAGTAGTAATTATGCCGGTGCAGAGAACATACAGCAGAATGTAGAGCAGTTCAGGTAGATTTTCAAGTAAATGGTGATTTTAATGGGTCTGAGCACCATGACAGTGTTTTAATGCCATGCAGTCAATCAATATATTTCTAATATTAAAGTCTGAGTCTTCTGAAAATAAAGTTGGAATATTCTGAGATTAAAATAGGAATATTTTATTTTATTATAATAACTTTTTACTATGACACTAAAATTCTGTTGTAGAGTTCAGATCTGCTGAGTACAATTGATAAGAAAACATCTGCTTGTATAAGAAATAGCATCATTTCAGAGAGAAATGGCAGTAATGTATGACTTAAAAGACAAAGTTAATTGGAGATGGTTGTAGAGATAAAAACAAATGTCAAAGTCAACAAAGACGATAGGAGATGGGGGTACAGGAACATGTCAGGTTTTTGTCATTATTAAGGAAAAAGATACGGTATGACCAAGGATAGAGGGAAAATCATAGAAAGTGAACAGTTGGAAATGGATCAGATGTCTACATATAACATTTATAAAATAGCACTATTATAAAAATTAAACTTGCATATATGATTTTAGTATTTTTTCTAGGTGGTTTCTTTGGATATTTAATTTCTGGCACTGAACTTTCAATCAAGTGACTGTAATGTATCACTAAAATGTAATCGTAAATTTCATGCATAAACATTTGTGCAAATGAAATGAAATGAATAATGTGTAGCTGGGGGACAGCATGCAGCTGCCACCTCTATGCCAACTGTAAGTTGCATTTATCCGTGTGAATGTATGCTTGAGTGTGAATACGTTATCTGCGTAAACATGCCAGCGCACTGAACGTCGGCCTCATCACACAGCATTAGTGTCCAACCTAACTGGTGCTCTTGTGGAGGTACATCTCCCCGCTGTAAAAGCCGGTGGAAAGCCTTGACATAAGAATGGAGGCTGTAAATACTCTGCCCAAAGTGCACAGGCTTCTGGCAAGTGTACATATTGCATCAGGTTTTAATTCTGTTCTGGTTATACAATATGTGTTTCGATAATTGAGTAGGTACAGTAGGTGGCTATGTAACCAAATAATGCTTGGTCTTGTAATTGCTGTCAGTGTATTTATGTGTGTGGTGTATGTATTTGTATTTATTAATCAGGTGTATAATTCGGGTGTTGGATTCTTTTGGCACTGAACCAGACTTCAATCATATAGCTTGGGCCGAAAAGCACAACCTTAAGAGTCCATTTGGCGGCCTTCATCTGGTCCCACTGCAGTTCTACACCATGTTCCGTATGTCTCTGGCTCTTGCTCTTTATTTTCTAACAGTCTAATTTTTAAGTTCGTTGTTTACATATGTTGCCTGATTTGAGAAGAATTAAAAAATGGAAACTTGAAAACTTTTATAGAAGATACAAATATACAGATGGGTGACAAATGAAAGGAAAAACCAACATAAAGTGTCCTAGTAAGGCGTTGGAGCTCTTTTAGAGAGATGAACACTATTCTTCAAAAAGGTAATCATCATCAGACCCATCACAATCATCATCATTCAGTGACCCCTTGTGCTCTGTGGATAGGGGCATTGTCATCCTGGAAGAGACCAGTCATTTTTTTCAGGCTTTTCCTGTAATTTGTCACCTGTCTGCATGAACAGAGTTTTTTATCAGTGACTTTAAGATTTAGTATTTAATGCACCTTGGAAATCTTGGATATGATGATGATGATTTTATGTGCATTGTCTTACTGTGAGCAGCTCATACTCCAGACAACACATTCTTGGGCTTTGTGGTACAGCACCAACTGAGCACTGAAGAAATTGAAAAGCTCAAGTCTACCAAGAGACAGAACCAGGCTCTTGTGTATGGCAAGCGTGCAGAGTTTTGGCAGGTAACAATATTCAGTCATTGTAATAACCTGAAAAATCAGTTTGCTCACCAAAGTTTTTGGAAGTACTCTATGAAATATTTATTTTTAAGGCACCAATCCTGACTCAAATAGAGCATGTATACTTTCTCAAATACTAAGGAAGAATACAATTTCTAGTAAGCAGAGACTGTGGAGAAATATTGTTCCATGTTTACAGCAGAAAACTGCAAAATTCATAAGTATAAAGACTGGAAGACAGGATTTGAAATGAAGGCACTTTCTGGGAGCAGCACTTTGGTTGCTATTATATGCCTTAAAATGTTTGGTCACCTCATTTTACCTTTTAGATGTTTATTATTTTGTGGGTGTTGTCTATGTGGTGTCTTTATATTTCATTCAGACACCCCCATTAAATACACGCTTGGCAATGGAAAAGCGTAAATTGTGTAATGTCCACTGATGTTTCAGCAATTCGTCTTTCTGCTGTTACACCACAGGGTAAAGAGGCTTATCTGGATGTTATCCACAAGTATTTGGAGATCCATGGGACAGTTGATAAAAATACTTCAATTCCAAGCTATGTGAAAAACCATGGCATTATTAAAGGGACTGCAGTACAAATCCTGTTGAGACAGAGCAAGGTAAGCATGAGGTAAAAGGGACCAGTGACACATGCCCTTGGGGCCCACATAGGTCCCTTTAGTTTATCCTTGTCCATTATATCCATTATTGTACATTTCCTTATAAGGGAAACCGCAAACATAGACAGGGAACCCAAGCTCAGGCACACAGACAAGCAGAGTAACAGCTACGTTTCAGTTAACCAGCTGAGAAGACTTACAGAAAATAACAAGAACTGAGTGGAGTCATATAAAGAAGGGTGTGGTCTAACCTAAAAGACTAGTGCCCTCAGGAGCAAGTGGCCGATCCTCCTCACCTCGAGGAGACACTCACACAGTTATGGGAAGACAGACAAGAAAAGGTGGGGCTGGATCAGAAAACAAAGGGTGACACATACTGTCAGGAATGTATACAGAAAACACAACATCAAAATAAAAGCATGCAAGAAATGGTGACACCAAATAAAGAACTGATCATAAAAGCAGGAACTAAACACTTGGACAAAAATAAGAGAATGATTAGTGTAAAGGGTTTTATTTTTTTCCACAAGCACATTAAACTGTACTGGCTGATGGCGGACAGCCTGGTGGACAGTCTTCTAAAGACAAATTGTCTTGTCCCAAGGATAATGTTTAGCAGGAATAAGGAAACTCTCTCCTCCACAATTCAGAATTAATGTTTAAAAAACCACTTCCCACATAGAAGCCATCCCATGAAATTATTTGATATTTGTTATGAAAAGCTTCCCTGGATAAGACTGATTTTAGCAGGCTTCTAACAAGTTTTTGATTCAAGCATTTTCTGAGTGATACAGTATTTATTTGTAGTTTAATGTGGCAAGAAGAGAATAAGAAAGCACTAATTCTTCCTGGAACACTATCACAGGGTTTCTCAAGGTGCTTGACAAGCACACTGTGGGTGTTGTGTAGGCTGTTCGCGGCATCGTGGAGAATTTGGAGAAGTTCTTCTGTGGATTAGGTTGTCCCTTCATGTAATCCCAGACTGTATTTCCAGACCAGGACTCTGGGAGGAACATGCCATCTTTAGAAGAACTCCTTGGTCTTCATGTCACTGAAGATACTGTAGTTTTTATGACTCACTGTGTGTTCGGGCTGTTGGCATGCTGATTTTAGGAATGATCAGCCCTGATGGCTTTGAGTGATAGAGAAGAATCTAAACATTCAAAAATAGCCATTAAATATTTACAATAAACCAAACTGAATATGATCTGGATTATATATCTGTGGTGGATGCTTACAGTTTTTATAAAATCATAAGATGTGTGATAAAACTGTGTAATGCACATATGTGTTTTGAGTTGGTAAATAGGACTCCAAACATATCATTGTTTTAAAGGATTAATTGTTTTCACACTGTTCAACAATTCTGCATCTGCATCACACACTGTGTACAGTAGCATCGAGTTTGGAGTTCATCGTGTATTGTGTTGGTCTTTACTGGCACCATGTGGTGACAGTAAAGAAGTGCATAAGTGTATTATATTTTCATGTGTTTTTTTTATATTGAGAGATTCTAAAATAATGTTTTCAATCTGTGGTCTGTTATAGGTTTTTGTGGGGCTGTCATTCCCATATGAAGGCCCTGCCCCTCTGGAGGCTTTAGCCAATGGCTGTGCTTTCCTGAACCCCCGGATGCACCCTCCCCAGAGCAGGCTGAACTCTGACTTCTTCAAAGGAAAGCCCAACATCAGAGAGGTCGGGGGTCATGTTCAGAACGGAGACACTTTCTAGCAAATACAGTATTATTATACATTTTTTTTTATCTTTGTAGAACCTTTGCTGTCCTTTGTTTTTATACCACCATCAAGTTAACAACAATGAGTCAAAGGACCAGAGAAAACACTCCAGTGTCTTTGGCTAATTTCTGTATTTTTCATAACATCTGTTTGTGTTGCAGGTGACATCTCAGCATCCATATGCTGAGGCCATCGGCAAGCCCTACGTATGGGATGTAGATATGCACAACCTCACAGATGTGGAGAGAGCTCTTACTGGTATCCTCAGTCAAAGTGTAAGCACCTTCTAAATATGGTGTCAGTATAGTCCCACAGAGCACAGTGGAATTACAGAAGAAGCTAAGTTTGAAAAAATGCAAGTTATTTTGTAATTGTTGTGTGATAATATTTTTTGCTTATGCATTTCAGATTGAGCCCTACGTTCCATATGAGTTTACTTGTGAAGGAATGCTTCAGAGAGTCAACATCCTGGTTGAAAAACAGGTTGGAGTAGTCTGGGATTTGGGGGGGTGTTGAAAAAAGCATGAGAAAGATGCAGATGTTTCTGCTTCTCTTTTCTCATGTTGTTCTCCTTCCTGCTTTAGGACTTCTGTTCTCATAGAGAGAGCTGGCCCCCAGTGAGCGCGCTCCAGGTTGTGAAGGCTGAGGCAAACACTTCCTGTAAAGAGGCATGCCAGAAGGCGGGGCTAATCTGTGAACCCGCATTCTTCCCAAACCTGAACAGCCCTACGAGTTTTGCCAAGTAAGTACACAGGTTGCAGTGCTTACACATGAACTCACTTTCTGAATTTCACAATCTAATGTGTCTTATGCTGAGGGACCTTTTCACTGCCGGGTCACCTACTGCACTGTAAAAAACCAATGCCGCAATATCATGAAAACAGATTTATGACTGAACTGAAAATAAATGACAGTGGTTTCAGAGAAGAGCAACAGCAAAATATCTTTGGAGTGTAGTCTGTGTCATCAGGCTAACACCTTTGGCAGCCATCACACACACTGTTCCAGAATATCACTTTTTGTTTTTAGAATATTACATGATAACATTACAATAACACAACTTTACAGTAATAAATACTAATACTTTGAAACATTACTGTGTACTGAATGTTGTTTATTACAAATACTAATACTTTGAAACATTACTGTATGTTGTACTGAATGTTGTTTATTAAAATAGGAAACAACAAACTCAGCATGTACAGGATACACTGTAATAAGATTATCTATGGCTATAACATTAACCCTATGACAAATGACTACTTGTTATTGTTATTGTGCCACACTAGAGAATAAAAATCAGTTAAACATTTGAGCAATTGCCATCGTAGGAAAAGCATTTGCATGGCCCTTGAAACAAGCTGCAATTTAACTGTGTGTGTATACGCACGCTTCATTCTGGTATTTCATCAAATAGCACCGCACCTCTGCCTAACAATACTGTATGCGGTTTCCCTTGTTTACAAGTTGTCACAGCTTTTCATTCCTGGGGTGCTTTTGCAGGTGAGTGGAAAATTTCAGGCAGATTGTTTTCTAAAGCTTCATACATCTTCATTGCTCAGGTTCTCAGACCTGAGCCATTGGCCTCAAACCTAACCACTCCAAATTATCAGTAAACATAATCATTTTGGGGTAGAACTTGTTGTACTGTAGCACACAGCCTGTACTTCAGTATCTGACTGTGTAGCTGAAATTCATCATAACCATTTGAATTAATGGCTTGATGACTTGATACACTGCTGCTGATAATTTCTTCCCCTTTCTGTTTCCTTTACAGATATGGTGTAGATTGCCAAACATCTCAGTTTTCTGACAGTAATTTGGTGCTCCCAGCCTACAACGAGGATAGTAAACACTGCCTGTTCCAGTCTGATTCACTGCTCTTCAGCTGTGTTAGATCAGACCAGTCCCTGATTCGCATCTGCCCCTGTAGAGACTACATTAAGGACCAGATAGCATTATGCAAGGAATGTGTCTGAGTGCTATAATGGACAATTCTACTGGTAAATTCTGGGATTAAAGTACAGCAGCACCTCACGCCAACGTAACCATTTTCACATGGCCCAATTGTTCACAGCAGGAAGTCCACAGGAGTCATTTTTGGCCTTTTTAATGTAACACTGGCAGATGTCTGATATGCATCTGAACAGTACTGATGTAGGTTTAAATTCAGTGTAGGAGCACAGAGAGCACCAACTGATCCTTCATGTAGGTTTCTGACCTCCTCAATATAGTACACGCACATGAATGAGAACTTGAAATAGTGTTTTAAAAAACAGGTGTCATAACATTGAAGGATTCAGCCACACCCCTGTTCCATTCAGCTGGGCATGTGTTTGACAGAAAATATGCAGTGACCTTATTCACAAACACCTGTCATGGTTGGCCTGTCACCATTTAGGGATTCCAATGTTATTACAGTGTTGAGTATTTATGTGCTGGCATTTGACAGTTGGTCACACGTCAGCTTCGCTTTTACAAGCTCGTCTCTGATTAGGAAACCAAGTGATTTAGATATAAAGCTGCAGCCAGCAGATAGTTAGCACTAAAACCATTAACAGGTCCCAAGATAACAAAATCTGCCAACCAACACCCAGCATCCCTAAAGCTCACTAATTAACATGTGATGTTTATTTGATTTAAACAAAACAAAAAGTCCATGTTGTGGTTTTACTGGGATTTATGTGGATGATTATATCTTGGCCAGATGCAGTAATGTCCTGGAGCAAACTTGTGATTACCATGAAGCTGCAGGGCAGGCAACCAGCAGCTTGATGCTCCTGCTCCTGTCCAAGAAATATTTTGAGGCATAAACTACCATGAATGCATTGTGTGTTATTTTTACTTGGGGTTTTGGCCTTTAGAGGTGCTAATAGGCAGATTTTTTAAAAGCCCCAGACAAAGGCAGGCTAACCGTTCCCCCATTTTCAGTTGTTGTGCTAAGCTAAGCTAACCTGCTGCTGCTAATAGCTGCATATCTAAATATGAGAATTGGTATTGATCTTCTGGTCTAACTCCCGGAAATACAGCGAATACTGGTTAAGGAAAAGGGAACCATTCCTGCACTTTATCCACTGTAGTACTGCATAATACCAATTAGGCCAATATAGTAATTTGTGCACTTAATGTATATGATTTTTTTATCCTCCCAACTTTCTTTTACCTTGTCTTTTTTTACTTTCCATATAGGCACAGCAGCTTACTGTTCAGTTTGGCAGAAATTATACAATTAGACAAACGTGATTCCTTATTAGTTCTTTAGGGAAGGGTGGCACTGGTGTTAGCAGGGATGTGGTGCTTAGTCTCATCATCAGTTAGTGACTGCTCTATGTCTGTCCCTCTTCTCTACCCAATTTAAAAGAAGGCCTTCCGTCAGGGCTGTTTGGGGTTTGTGGGGTTTGAAACAAGACCATATCTCAAAAGTGCTGACGAATAAGCAGGATAAAACTTTATTAATCAATAAAACTTTGCTCTTTGACAAAGACATACTTCATTGTTCTTTTACATAAATACATGGTGTTTTACATCATCTGCAATACCACTGATGTCATTATTGTACAAACAGACAGTTAAACATTCTATTACGTACACTGTAGTTAGATTTGTTGTCAGTTCTGTTACATATTTCCATCTGTGCTTTGTATGTGTGTGTGCACCTGTCAGAGTTTTTACAAGTCCATGCAAAGCCTTTAGCAACAGGGAAGAAGGTTGTATTGCTATCATAATTTTGTGAAATGAAGTAGTGTAAATGATTTGATGCCTTTTCTGCACCAATAATAAGATACACACATGTCAAAAAGAGCAGATGTACATTTGTATGCAAATGTTTGGACACCCCTGGGCAAACGACATACTTTGCTGATTTGTGAAGTGAAAATGCAACCTATGCAGCAAACAGCAGAATGCTACTGTAATGCCAAATGTTAATTCACTGTTTCAGAAGCCAGCCTCCTTTCACTTTCGTGACTCACTGCATGACATTTTAAATCAATGAAAGAAAAAGTAACACTGCATTAACATTTGAAGAAAGGCTCATTTTTAATGTCTATTTGTTGCAGGAGTTGTATTTACCTCTTTTCACTTCAAAAAACAATCTGTAAACTTCCCACAGATGCCCACATTTTGCATGCAACTACATAATTTCAGTGATTTGGCACAGAATAATTAGGCTGCAGTATTAAACTTGTTTTTGGACTGTTTAAATAAACTAACACAGTTAGCAGTTTCATGGGGTCATTTCTCACAATCCTTGAACAGTCTTTTAGTTAGATGGAGCATGAGGGTCATGCTGCATGGGGCAGGTCACGGGGCAGAAGGAAAAAACACGTCTTGAATGAAATACAACTGCATACAAGTGCAGCCCCTTCAAAGATTTCCCACCCCTGAGAAGTGTAAGCGGGCCACAGACACAATCTCAGAACCCAGCCAAGGTTTTTGGAAAATACTTCCTGTCTCATGCCACTCTCACCTGCTCCAGCTTTACTTTGGCCACTGATTACTTCTGATCACTTACACCTGCTGCTCATTGGCCCTGTTCTGTCAGCCTTTATATTCAGTTGCTGGTTTGTTTATTGACTTCTACTGTTCGGATCCCTGTGCTGCTAACATAGTGTTCTCATTTACCAAAAGCTTGTCCTGCACCTGTTAACCGGTTTGTGCCCAGTTTTGTCATTTAGTTTCTTTTCCCTCTTGTTGTTTTGTCTGTCGGCCTTTAGCCTGTGTGCTCAGTAGCTGGTCATACTTGTCTTGGTCATGGTCTTTTGTTTCTAGTTAGTTGTATAATTGTGTGTCATTAGTTGTTGCCTGTCTTTGGCTCTTGTTGCCTTGTTCTCCCAGGCAGTATCCCCAGTTATTGTACCTGTCCCAGTCATGTCTTTTGCTTTGTGAGTTTACTATTCCATCCACTATTATTTTTGTCATTTCCAGTCTAGTCATTGTTTGCCATTTGTCTCTACCCATAGCCTCACGTCAGTGTTGAAATTGCACTGTCATACTTGTGTCTCCTTGTTTATTTGAACAGCTGTTGCCATTATTAAGTATTTGAGTTCCTCACTATACTTTTTATGTTTGCATTTGGGTTCCCCTCTCTCACACCATAAGTCAGCATGTAAACACTGTGCTTTGCCAGTAAGTCGTTGTAAAGATTGTCTTTTATGCATCTAAGAGAGGTGGAAAGATTACAAATCTGTGCACCGTTGGTGAGTTGACGTGGTGTGAACTGAGTTCCACCTTCAGTTTATAGCTAATCCTTATTCTTCACCCAATAAAACTAAAGAATATCAATTACATAGTTTTGCACCCCATCCAGTATTTCATCTCATGCTTGGTAATTACAGAGTAGAGAGCAGATGTAGGCCCCTTGATGGTCGCTGTCCAAGGTTTTGTATCTGTATTCAACCTGGGCTAAATATAGATGCTCCCTTGGATTCAGTTCAGTGAATATTAATACTCTTGTCATGGCGCTTCCAACCACAAGGAGGCTCACCAGCATTATGGATCCACATTCATAGAAGGAAAAAAAGGTCACCAACACTCTACCTGTACCTTGACTAATTGTGAGAATGTTTGGTCACTAGTGAACTTATCCAGTATTTGTTTGTACATAATACAGCATCTGTCTATTTTTGTTGTCAAATTAAATCCATTTGAATTTGTACAAAATCGAATAATTTGATTTCTTAATTAGACAAGGTTCTTTGAATTGGAAAACAAAGATAAAAAGATATTTGTAATCAGATAAAAACAGAGCTGAGTCTTGAAGAGTGTTGTCAGATCACACCTACATCCAGTCTGAGATTTTCACTTGCACTCAAAACAATTACAGTTAGACTTGTGATTTCATTTCACCATTAATCTACAGTAATATGCAAAACATATATGTGCACTAGAGTAAACATTGCTGGCTATATGTAACATTGATCATCCTGTATTTTAACTATGAGCTGTCTACTCCAAAAAGCCTACTATGCTGGCCATAAAGCACTATGACTATTTGTGACTTGTATTACTGAAGGACCCAAACAGTGTAATAAACATATTTACAGACTATGAGGTTTGTATTTACATTGTCTGTTGCACATAATGATGAATGATAACAATGAGGATGTGCAGAACAAATAGGTAATAATTAGAGATGCAGACAGAGGAAAATGCACTCTGCAAATGATTTGGACTGTATGTCTGTGTCTTTGTGCTTAGATTCATCTTAGGTTTTATCTTTCCCATATGTTACAGCCAAAAGGGGAAAATAAAATATTAATAAAAGTAATAAATACCCCAACCTGATTAAGTACAAACTTCCATAGACAAAATCATAAATAACAGAATCACAGCTAATTGTGGAGAAAACGTTCCTGCAGAGTTTAGTGCTTTAAGATCTATTCGTGAACTAAAGCTGAAAGCATATTGCAGCTAAAACAAGATAATTGATGTGCTTTTGCTGTTTTTTATCATCTTATAAAAACATTACTAATGTCATTAGTGGGTAATACTTTGGCAATATTCAAAACTGCAAGTAAAAAAAAGTTTTTAATGGGTTACAATAAATAACTAAGGTATGTGTGTTGTTAACAAAAGATATGTACAATATGGCAATGAAACATATGTTAAGTCAGATGCAGCAGTTAAGATAAAACTGGCTAAATACCCTGAAGTAGTTTGTAACCACCCAATGTGGGAACTGTGCTGAACTGTCAGTAACAAACACCTATGGAAGGAGGAAAACTCTGCTCTCGTGTGTTTGGACACATCACAAACAGTGCAGTAGCTATGCAATGTAACAGGTCAGATAACCTCAGCTTTGTGCACTTAGGTTTATAGCCACTGTATGATAAATATTTGTTTGTAGTGTCTCTTTTTTAATGCTTGATTTCAGATCAAGGCTGACCTTGATTGCAGTGTTTACTGACTCAGTATTGCTTACTGTATGGGCTCTCTGTCAAAGTCTCTTTCTCTCTGCTTTTCACTTTGTCTTTTCCTCTTTCAGCAACGAATAAGGATGTATAGATGCTGGTAAGCTTTTTACTGGTTCTCTGTGTTTTAGAAAAGGAGGACTTGTACTTAATTATAGCTAAAAGTAATAACAATACTAATAAAATAGTGGGGATCACAGCTCAATATAGTTTGTATTTTTAATTAAGATATAACAGGGAGATATTTTAAAAAGTTCTTCATACTTTAATTGTATGTGTATATGTTTACATGGGTAAACATACTGAGTTTTTGTGTAGGCCTCGCTTAAATACAATCTACTGCTTCTGAAACATTTTGATTTTATTACCATTATGCCCACAAAGGTAGTAGCTAAACCCACACAGACAAATCATTATACTGCTTCTTTCTGTGTAAACACTGCCGTGTGTGAATGGTGGCGTGTTAGCAGCAGGTACTGCATGTCCAGATTGAATGAATCAAAAGCCTCTGTTGGTAGACAGGAGTCTCAAATGGTGGTTTCACAGACAAAAAGTGACAAAGAGAAGAAAAGAAGGAATTCAATGAAGTGCTGTCTTTCCAGGAGATGGTCTTCCATCATGTCCTTTTCACTCAGCATCTCTCAAATGTCTGTGTGCATGCATGTTATGTCTGAATGTATCAATGTACTACTGTATGTACAGTATATACAGCATATGCCTATATATGCATGTATTTGAGAACATGAGTGTGTAACATTTGTATGTATGTGCAGGTGAAGTGTGCATGTACAGTAAGTGTGTATGAAAGACAGAGAGAAGAGGGCGGAGGACAGGAGGCAGCCAGGTGTGTGGGTACGCGTGTGTGTGTGTGTGTGTGTGAACCTGCTCGTCTGGTCAACACACAGGTCTCTCACTCAAAGCGTTCATAGTTCCTCGTCTGTCTCACGCGGGGCACCATATCCTTCAGGAGCCTGTGGAGACAGAAACAGTCTCATTGGAAAGTAAGACTATAAATGTGCACACATTACAATTCCAGCAGGGCGTCTCAGCCTGGTTTGGCACCGCAGCAAATTCAGAGCTGTCAATATGATGTGAATCTGGCATTAATATAATATGGATATTTCACACCAGTGGCTCAAACAACTGTAGATGGGAAATAAACTGTTTATCTCTTACATGACCCCATATGCCATAATGATGAGTCCAATGATAACGCCCATGGTGGCATCCAGAAACCAGACGTCAGTATGGTGCTTGAAGACTTCGGCGCTGATCAAAATGGAAAATCCCATAACAGCTCCAATCAGGGAGTTAATTCCTGAAATGCATAGAATATGGAAAATATTTTGTCTGCTTTGTCAAATGTGATACACAGATTTGAACATAAATCAAAAAGTATTCCAGCTTAGCAAAAGTACTAGAAACTGCTACCTGGACTCTGTCCAGTGGTAACAAATCACCAAGATCAACACCCCAAAAGCTTACTCATTAAAATGTTAGAATTAAAAATTTAATCCATATGTTACATATGTCTCAGACTATTAGCTGGAAGTAGTAACTAATTTAGAGGTGCTGGTAGATGAATTCTGACAGCTGTGAACAAAGTTAAGATAGCCATTTCCCCTGTTTTCAGGGTTTATGCTAAGCTATGCTAAGTTACCTGGCTGCTGTACAGACATAAGATAACTTCAAATAAGTGTATTTTTAAAATATGGAAGCATCCCTTTACACGGTCCTCTACCATGCAGATGGCAGATGAGAGATGTTCGGTTGGGGTTGTTTTTAAAACTGAAATATAAGTGGCTACATAATTGTTAACTGTATTTGAACTACCCAATATAGTGGCTGATGTTCCTTTATAATTACATTTCTCCATGTGTGAAAGGTTGCACAGTGGATTATTGTCTCGCCTGCAGTAAGTGTATAGTCTTGTGGGAAATAAATCCAAGCTCAGAGAACAGCAACCTCAGGTTTATTGGACTGATGCCCTGTGCCTTCTGAGACCTGGGGAGAGCAGTGTGTCTTGTGTTTGCCAACGTGTGCATGTGTGCGCTATACTGTGGTTTTTGCATGTGTCTAAGAACAGCCAATGGGTCAAAGCCTATCTATTACTATGTTCAGTTCAGTTGTGCAAACAACTCTCACACACTTAAACACACACAGATACACTCTGTTGTGTGGTTTTTGGTTTGGGGTTGTCATGCTTGCTTTTATGTTTGAGGTTAGTGCAGTCCAGCTCCCACCATAAGGCTTTTACATTTGGTTTTCAATTTTAAAATTTGTTTTTTCTCCACCACATTCGACATTCATAGCTTTGTAGTTGCTTTGGATTCAAACATCTCAGTCTGAATTGCATTAATTTACTAACATTCTAGTTTTCTCTGTATCATTCAAAACTACCTACTCTCAGTCTCTTTAATGAACACAGATTATTTACTGTTAACACAGAACGGATAAGGAACTGACTAATGAGTTATGCAAAACCAGCACCCATCTTTCAGGCCATTAATTGTATCGTCAAACACTGTGTGTGTCCAGTTTTCCCACTGGCACATATCTCTATATTTATCTTGTATGTAGCTTACCATCAGTGATGAGTGCCCGGCTAGTCAGCACTTTTCCCAGCATGAATTTGGCCACTGCCAGCACAGAGCATGTGAGCCCGCTCACTGGGGGGGGGGGGGCATACTTTTAAAATATACCGTGTTAGATGAACTAAGATCACAAAAAGGGAGGCAAAGCAAAAGGAAACGCAAACCAAACATAGAAAAAGCTAAAGTACGGCTGTAAAGAGAGCATCAACATTCGCAGGCAGACAGATTGTCCCACAAAGCTTTTGTCAGCTGCACCATTAATAATATATAGGTTTGACTTGGTGCATCAACCCAAGGTCACACAGATGATGCCTCTAAGTGAGGTGGGGGTCTGGTGTTTTCAACTTAAGTCTCAAACAGACTCAGCAAGCACTGGGCCCAGGAGTATTTCACCATCAGATTTAATTGGCCCAGCAGGGGGAGGGAGACGGGGCAGGGGAGAGAAGAAGAAAGAGAGAAAGAAGAAACTGAAACATTTACTTAAAGGACATGTACAACATAAAAACTTTTTTAGTTTTTTCTGTTTGATTTCACTATTTTTGACTACATGATTATTTCTCATAGCGGTACCATTTGGATAAAATTAGAGCAACCTACTGCAGTGGAAGCTAATGTGGGCCTCCGCTTACACAAATAGATGTAACGTTGTCTTTCCTGATTTGATGTCAATGTACTCAGATTGCCAAGAATTTCCCCTCCAGATATACGTCTGTTAGATTTACATTCTCAGAAAATAAGTCAGAAAAGCAGGAGGACAAAAGTAAGTTACAGCTCTGACACACAAAAACTGGACACCTGTAGTCCTCCAGTGTCTCAGGTGCTCACAAAACATTATGTATTTCATTAGGCTGAAGGAGGCAAGAAAGCCTAAATGTTTTGTCCTTATGTAGATTGTTAAGTGTTAGGAAGTTAGGTGTGAGGAAATCTCATTGAGATCAAGCTTAGAGAAAAAGCTGTGATAGTATGTATGTGTGTCGCTGCATGCACTGTTGTAAATACATGTATTGTATGTGCCCTCCATCTGTGTCCAGCTCAGAGGCAGGGAGAGCCTATCTCAGCTCTCTGTGTTTAATCAGGCACTAGACACTGCCAGACTGCCATGAGAGCAGCAACACAGGACGTGATACGAATCAGGATTCCTGATTTTCTGCACCCCCTGTCCACTCAGTGGGATTTTACAGCCCCATACATCACGGTACCAACACTCTTCAGCATTCACATCATATTGCACATTGTTCTGCAGGCTGCTCATCTTACATGAGAACAGCGTAATCTTTCAGAAGAGCCAAATTTAGTCAATGGCATCATCAAATGAGGAATGTCCCTCTGTAACGTTTCTTTTTTTTTTTTTTTTTATAGTTTCACCTGGCTCTTTCTGTCACATGCACTGTCTGGTAGACACACACAAACTGACCACATCAACAGATCACAGTTGGTATGATAAATTACCCCTGACTGCTGTCTGATGTAAATACCACTATTTTAGTGAACAAGTCTGTTTTTGCCAAAAATATTTTAAAAAAACTTGGATACAAAGAAAGAGACAAAAATAACAGTGAAAAAGGCAAAGCAGTAAAAATAAACATGATAATGGAAGGAGACAGATTAGGAGAACATGTAGGTGGGATAGAAAGGGAGAGAAAAAGGCAAATGATAATAAATAAGGTAGTGAGAGAATAAAACAAAGAGACTAGATAAATGAGAAGGAGAAGGAGACAAACCTATCATGTAAAGTCTTACATCAAATTTAGTCAAGCTAGTGACAGGACATTCCATACAGTGACAGATGGCTGAAATCACACTTTAATAAAGTGATGATAAATTAGATTTACTGTACATGTATATGTACAGAATGCACTTTGTTGCCATGCAGAAAAACATCCATTTGATTTAAAAAAAGAAAAGCAGAGCTAGGTGAAAGTGTTGGACCCCTGATTGCCAGAGAAGGTACAAAGATGGGAGCGAGATGATGAGGGAAGCGTAGAGAAAGAGAGAGAATGTCAAAGAGACAGACGACAGTAATAGGCTCTTGCTGGTGTCAGGAAGCTCCTTTGAGACCAAACGCCCACAGTTTCTATTAACATAATGACACTGGAGTGTCAAATGCAGTCTGCAAAATAGGCTGATGCCCGCAACTTGTTTCACTACTAGCTTCCATCTCTTAGGTTTATCAAACATGCAGTTAAAAGAAGAGGAAGGCACACACACACACACACACACACACACATTTGGTTTGTCTGGTACAATCTCACAGTAGAACTCCCTTTCCTTACCTGTTTTTCACTTTGTTGACTTTATTGTCAAACTCTTTGGAAACAGCTATCCTATCAGCTTAAAGTGTAAAAATCAGTATTTCCTCTGTGTCTTGGCTTCACTAATTAGGAGGGCTCAAAACCTAAAAGGGGAAGGCTGCACTGGGCACTCCCCCAGCAAAATGATGATGGAAGAGCTGGGCTGTGCCCCAGCAACAGTAAGATGAGACTATTTTGGGACCTTATTCATAGTCTTAACACCTTGAGAGTGGGGTGGGGTGACTGGTGGCGTGATGCTGACATTAAAAATAAAGTGTGTGCGCGCTTGTCTGGGTGTGTCAAACAGAACAAAAGTCAGGTGGATGGAGACAAACTGACATCAGAAGAAAAGCAGAGGGTGTGTGTGGGGGAGGGCATGTGAAGATGTGTGCAAAGACTATGTAAGTAGGATGATTCCTGCCTCTTTTCTTATAAACACATTTTGTGGAAACATCGAAGCAAATGAGCTGAGTCTTTTTTATAGCACTGTAGAGAATCATTAGGCCCAAGGTTAGGTTTGAACAGCTGCACTGTCATGACACTGGCAGATCCTGGAAAAAAATCTTTAACCTTGAATTCAACAGTACTTAATAAATAAATGCCCTAAGCAGGATGGAAACTCCCAAATGGACGATTTATCCCTGCAGTACTGTATATTGTTGCAAAGCACTGGTATTATAAACAGAAATCCGAGGGTTTCCTATTTAAACACACATGATTTACAGTCCGGTTTCAGTTTATATTTTTTTCCAAATGTAACACTTTTAAAAGGACAGTTCAGTGATTTACTCATCACACAAGAAAAAGAGGAAGTTATTGTGTACAAAGTGACAAAGTCAGCTTTAGGAAGACGTTGGGGCAAATGGAGCAAAGGAATTTTCCACAGGAGACTGCGGTCCAATTCCAGTGTGAACATGCTGTAGTGTTTATACCCATGACGATTCCACAACCATAATGACATATTTATAACTGAATGGATAATAATGAAGTAAGTAGGTATGGTTTATTTATGTAATACTTGTCTAGATCAGAAGTCACAATATGCTTCACACAAAATTACAAAATACAGCTACTATCTATATCCTATAAAAGAGCAGTACCTTCATAAAAAAAAACAAAATAAGAACAGAAGTGGTTTTATTATAACACAATAAAACCACTACTCAAAAGCCATTTTAAAAAGATGGGTCTTGAGCCAAGCGGAGTGCAGCCCGGGTGGTTGTGAAGGCAAAAACTCAGGTCTGGGAGGAGTTCGGTGAGGCCATGGAGAGGGACTATCGGTCAGCCTCAAAGAAATTCTGGCAAACCGTCCAGCGCCTCAGGAGGGGGAAGTAGTGCCCTGCCAAAACTGTTTACAGTGGAGGTGGGCAGCTGTTGACCTCAACTGGGGACATCGTCGGACAGTGGAAGGAATACTTCGAGGACCTCCTCAACCCCGGCGTCACGTCTTCCAATGAGGAAGCAGAGGCCGGGGGCTCGGAGGTGAACTCGTCCATCACCCAAGCTGTAGTCACCGAGGTAGTTGAGAAGCTTCTCTTGATGTTGTGGGGCTGTCTTGGCTGACACGCCTCTGCAACATTGCGTGGCGATTAGAGACAGTGCCTCTGGATTGGCAGACCAGGGTGGTGGGCCCTCTTTTCAAGAAGGGGGACCGGAAGGTGTGTTCCAACTCTCTTTTTCTTTCCTCTCTCCTGCTCTCTTTTTTTTGTGGGATCTGCGCCTCAGCGGTTTCGCTTTCTGTAATTAGTAACTCATGGGTTGTCACGCACAGCTGAGGCGTGTTAGCTTAATGACTTCCCTATCTTATTTATACCTCTGGCAGTCACTCCGTCGTCGCCGGAGCATTACTTTGTTTATGCCTAAATATATGCATGTTTTAGATTTCCACGCTGACAGTGACTGTGCTGTGGATTTCTTTTATCATGTTGGTCTTTTGTATTTTCATCGTTTCATTATTTGATTTCCATGCTGACAGTTCCTGTGCGTGGTTTTCTTTCGTTTTCTTTCCACCTGTCCGTCCACATCCTGCTTCTCTCCTGGTTCCAGCCGTCAGCCAATCTACTCACCTGTTTGTCCTGGACTCCTCAGCCGTCACTGCCCTACTCCGGTTCAGTATTGTACGTGGACTCAGTTATGTTGTTATTTTGTGTTGTTTTTCCATTAAACCTCCATTTTTCCGCTAGCACCTGGGTCTCCAAACTTGAGTCCTACCCTAGTTCTCCCTCACCCTCCTGATGAGGGGAACTAAACCATAACGGGCAGGGCTGCCCTTTGTCACCAGTTCTGTTCATTATTCTTACGGACAGAATTTCTAGGTGCAGCCAGGGGCCGGAGGGAGTCCAGGTTGGGGACCACAGGATCTCGTCTCTGCTTTTTGCAAATGATGTCCTGTTGGCTCCATCAAACCAGGACCTCCAGCGTGCACTGGGACGGTTTGCAGCCGAGTGTGAAGCGGCTGGGATGAGAATCAGCACCTCCAAGTCCAAGGCCATGGTTCTCAGTCAGAAAAGGGTGGCTTGTTCCCTTCAGGTTGGTGGAGAGTTCCTGCCTCAAGTGGAGGAGTTCAAGTATCTTGGGGTCTTGTTCACGAGTGAGGGAAGGATGAAACGGGAGATTGACAGGCAGATCGGTGCAGCTTCTGCAGTAATGCGGTCGATGTACCGGTCCGTCGTGGTGAAGAA